CCTGAACCCCTAAACCCGAAACCCTCATAATTCTGAGGTCAAAGCAGAGGAGGCCAAGAAGGCCGCCAAGGAGGCTTGGTCGCCGCTCTCATCCTCAACAAATGAGTTGCATTCTAAACTCCTTAACAGGGAGTTATATAGAGGATTATATAGGGGACTACTATAGGGGGTATTAAGTGGCATACTAGGAGTTTAGACTATAGCTCATATGAGTAGTAATTCAGTTGGGGATACTATGGAAACCCTAATGAGATTCGTAGTGATGTAGGTTTATATATGCGCCATCGTCTAAACTCCTTCATGGGGGTTATATGGGGAGTATATGGGGGAGTATTATAAGGCTTTATGAGTAGTATTTTATTTGGGGAGACTATGGTACCCAACCTAGAGTAAGATTATATCCTGATTTTGGGCTCCTCAGCATATGGACCATAGTCTAAACTCCTTAAAGGGGGTTGTATGGGGCAGTATATGGGGGAGTATTATAGGGCTTATTAAGGGGCATACTAGGAATTAAGGTTTTGGCTCATATGGACTCGTAAAAAATGAGGGCCCTTAAGTTGTGGAACCCCACTTGTGTTCGAATTGTGGTTAGACCCTAAACCCTAATAGTCATCACAGCGATAATTGGCAATGATGTGAGGGTCCGATTCTATTCCGACTTTACCACGGTTTCTGTTTGGGGGCTCTGTCAAACTTAAGGGCTTGACTGAGGGTTTCGGCTTTATGTAGTTTTTTGGCTTTTAGGGTTTAGGGTTCGTGGGCTTGACTTAACTTATTGGTGCTTGATCCTCATTAACATTGGGGATTAGGGGCTTACGCTGTAGGAAGCCTTCTCACAATCTTCAACCTTCTGTAACTGTCCTCCTTTTCACTCCAGTAAGACCTAGTCCCCACAACCTAAACGCTATGATAGCCTCCTTTTTCCTTTCCACTCCCTGACGCACTATCAACCACCATATGACTCCAGTGTCTCCAGTGTTTATTTCATGCTTGATGTTCTTTTCTGTTTCGTTCTGCATTACTTGGGGTAATATCCCTTAATTCCACATAATCCCTGTATGAATCTACATGATCTCTACAATCCGTGTCTCACCCTTAGCATGTAAAATCCTCCACCTCTACCGTGGCTCATCAGGCCGCAGACGCCCGGGCGGAGGCGTCCAAGGCCCGCGATGACGCGGAGGTGGGTTTCGGATTTACCTACACCTTCCAAAAAACTTCAACCAGTTGCCGATGTGCCCATTATTTTTTGCTTCGAGGGTTTAAGTAGGGGTTGCCTGCACCTCTAAATTCTCTAAAGATTGCCCATTGGCATATGCTCCTTGATTGGCGGTTGAAGGCCATACTTCGGTGTATTTGCGAAGTTTGCGTAGGGTAAGGAGCGCCAACCCAAACTGGACATCCTAATTCGGGCCTAAACCCTAAACCCTAAACCCCCCTACAGAAGGCCGCGAGTGGTTTAGGGGTTTAGGGTTTAGGGGTTTAGGTTTAGGGTACCTAGGGATATGGGTTTGTTTTTTAAAGGTAGTATAAGGTATAAGTCTCAAATATAGAGATGGCTTACGAACCAGCTTTGATCAATTCTGTACACTTGCGGGTGCATAGGCGTGGAAATCTGTTCTTCATTCTGGGAGTTCCAACAATACTTGTCGGGACCCCGTATGATAAGGATTAAGGTATTTTGGGGGAAGAGGGGCTTCGTCTACTTCTTGTCCTACAAGTGCGGCCTCTGAATCCAAGTCGAAACCTTGGAGGTCTGAGCATACCATAAATGGGGTTGTGGCCTTTTTTGGGCTTATAGACGGAGAACTGTAGGAGAATATTACCCTAAGGGTCCAAGAACCCAAATAGGATTTGAGGGCCCAAATACCACTTTTAGAGAGTAAACAGACCCTTCTATTTGGGTCCTTGGACCCTTAGGGTTGTTGGGCGCGTTGTCTTACTGGTGTAAGAACCCGTCAGTGGCTCCACCTCACTGCGCTGTTATGTCGTACAGTACGCTGATGGCCGCCTACGGGAGACCCAATAGGAGAGCTTCACTCGGTATACGTACGCTTCTTACTTCCCGAGAGCATCCATAGCCGTCCGCAGGAGTTTTCATAAACTCTCAAGGGGAGAACCTAAGTGGAACTTCTTGAACTTTCAGATGCCTTGCCGGAACCCCAAACCGTAAACCTTGTGACAAGGTAAGCCTGACAGCTATCCGAGTATGCCCTAAGAAGGTATGAAACTTCGCTGTAAGAACCTCAAATTGTTCCATGACTCCACTTCAGATATCTCCGAGGTTGGGACTTGGGTTAAGTATTTAGGCGTTTAGGGTTGAAGGTTTAGCGGTTTAG